GAACGATTTCTCACGGGGCTCCTGAGTTGAGAAGGAGTGTCTCCAAAAAAACGCCGTCCACTTTTCCATGCTGTTTCTTATCACCTTCAAAAGCAAAGTCCTGCAGATCCTGCAGGAGCAATCACAAATAACAAGAACGCCCTTGATCCCTGTCTGACCCCCCCCCCTGGACACGGCCCCCACACCGTCTGCCTGCTCGAGGGTACGGACGTTTGCTTATCCCGTTCCTCTAGGTGCACCACGCCAATGGCTGCTCGCTTGGAGAATGTCTCCATCGGAGCCGTAGACTCTTGAATCGGTGACTACCAGAAGTGAAGTTGCCAGGAGCAGCTGATTTTATTAACTTGTGTAATAGTGTATAATATCTACAAACTGCACAGGGGGGAAAGAAGAGTAAGTTGAGGGAAATCCTGTCTGTCAACGAGCCCAATTGGATGTGAAATAGGTTTGATAAATGATTCTTCAGCAGATGCTCCGTGGGAGCAGTCGGAACTCTGTTCTTTGAGAAGAATTCACGCGGCCGTACGAGCCCTGTGATAACCTCTTGTGGTTTCAATGAAAACGATAATAACACCGCCAAGCTAGTAAATGACTGTAAAACCACCTCAGCGTTGAACCACAGTGTACCAGTGATTTGCTCTCATAATCATACACTCCAAAGCCAAAACAAATCCGCAGACAGGCCTGTCGTGCTGGTGGCTCCGGATGAAATGTAGTGTTTATCAAGATGAGTCCCGTGGGAGCTCTTTGGGGAACTAATCTACAGCTCTTGATGCTATCCTGTGAAACTGTTTTCACAATTTGTTTAAATGTGACTGATAGGATCGGGAAATATACATACATACTGGTGCAGTGAGCTAAATGCAAAAGAAAAAACAAAACCAAGGAAGAATTGACTGATATGGCTGATAATGTGGTCACTTCGTTCAGCCTCAGACATCCCATAATCGTTCTGTTAGTTATCTTGTTGGATAGAAGTCTGGATGGAGAGAGTATTGTATGAAAGGCCCTGGGGAAAGTGAATGACTGCTATGAGCTACAAAGTCTTTGGCCGTTATCATTGATGAGAGAAGGTAACTGTTTTTAAGCTACTAAATTGGTTGAAGTTTGAAAATATTAAAAGGATAAATCTTCAAGAATGACTTTGAACCAACTCTTCTGCTGGGCCAAAACGCTGATATCGGACCATTCTGCCAACGCACACACACAATAAATCCATTCCCATTTCCAAATTCTTGTGTTCCACAATAAAGACCAGGATATGGCGAAGATTAGGACGAGTTTGTGGTTTGGTAAAATTTCAAAAGGCAAATGCAAGTCTGGGACGTATTCTAAACTTAGTCGGCAGGAACATTTTGGAGTAATTGATCCATTGATCCATTAATCAACCTTCAATGAAAAGGTAATTGGTACAAACGTCATCGTCATACAGATCCCACCAAATGCTTGAATGTTGTTGGACATAATTATGTCATCATTGACGTTCTTAAGTGTGTGATTTAAAGTCTACACCGTCTAAGAATAGAATAAAGTACTACAACAACAAGTAACCCCTCGCGTGGATTAATTCTGACTTTTGCATTTTTAGTTGAAAAGAATGAAAAATGAGTAGAAGAAGGCAAAATATTTTTGGTTCATTTAAAGAGTGAAACAAATGGCTACCGACACAACAACCAGTTTTTCAGAGGCTGCCCCTCCTCTCTCAGGGGCCACTTATCAAGTCTGATGCATCGTACTTTTGGAGAAAACAAAACAGAAAAGGTCATTCTCTGCTGGTACCCCATTTCGCCTCGTCCCTGCCGAGCAGTCGGCCTGTGCAGCGCTGCAGCGGTGCAGCCACCCCCAACTGTGATTGACTGGAGCCGCTTTGTCACTCGGTGATCGGGAGGGACTGGAGGTCGGAGTGGCCATCTGATTCAAATCAGCCCCTTCAAGTGAGAACAGAGAGGCCAATAATGCATTCATCTCCACTCTCGGGCTTTGAACATGCCTCTGCTGTAATAGTCCCATCGCCACAGCCTTTTCAGAGCCTTCTATGGTGTTTAAGCCACTCTTTCAGGTGTAGCTCTTTGATTCATACTGCGACTCTATTGGGTATTCATGCCGGGGCCCGCAGTGCAGAAACACTTCCTCCGCCTAATACTAATTAGCCTTCGGGATTATTTTTCAGGTGCCGCACTTCATCCGTCAAATAAATCCGGCAGCGAGTGAACGCAGCATTTAGATAAAGTTAAAATGATTTTGCAAAATGACTTTCTGTGGCTGTCCCCAGTGTCTACGGTGTTTACTTGTCGCTGCGGTGCAGCGGTGGGAGTTGCTCCACTTATAGAAAGTGATTTGGGTGCAAACAGCCCCCCCCCCCCCCCACACACACAGTATAATTAAACAATGTAAGTCTTATAGGTGGACAGGGGTATCCATAACGCCAACATGGAGCACTTAAAAGCCGTAAACACAAGACAAATGTTCATCAGCTGCACGACTGAGCCGTAATCAATCATACGACTTATAGTGGAGGAAACAGATTATTTCCAGTGCAGGAGACTGCTGATGCCGACATAACAATATAAATGAATGCATTCTAATTGTGAGAAATCCTCATGTATAATGGGGGAGACAAATACTGCTCTTATATAAGTGGAGAAAAGGAGGGAGGGAGGCGTGATCGATCACTATCGGATACATCCGTTGGAAGTGCAATAGCGGCACCCTGTGGCCGCGGGAACACATAACACGCTCGGTCCTCCTGCACGGGAGGTTAGAGAGTTTAGAGAAATGTTTGATATAAGGAAAAAAATATGTTTTAGCTAAGACGTGACTGTAAAGAGATCTTGAGCAGCGTTTTCAATTTCAGAGATAGATAGCCCCTTGGTTTTCCTTCTTTAGGCGTGACAGGAGGGAGCAGGCCAACGTCACGTAGAAGTGTGATTTGTCAATCAGCATTGGTGTGACGGCTTTTTTGATTGTGATTCGTATAATTGTATGAAAAATCCTTCCAAAATACCACATTAAGACACCAAGACACTGGGTGACATTGTAAAAAAACATGCACAGCTTCGGTAACAAACACTTCTGAAATTTGAGGGTTAACCCGAAGGATTGCTTATTTTGGTGATTGGATCAATAGCACCTCTGTTCTGGAAACTTCTCAGAAACTCAAAAAGCCATAGATTCTCTGAATGCCCCAGGTCTCCAGTTTGTGGTTGTGGAGTTGCATGACGCTGTGGTTATCCTAAAGGTCACAAGAGATCATATTAAACAGTTTTTTTTTAACATCATCACAATGAATACAACTGGGCTCAGTGGATCCACTAGAGTGTCAGATTTCAAGTCATACCCAATTTATTTAATTGATGCAGAAATATTTAAACCTTAGAAAGAGATTTTTTTTAGAATAAAAAAGTATACAGGCTTTTCTATGAGGACAGCCATTCACATATGGCAAGGTGAGAGGTCAATAGCTTCCGTAGAGGTAATGACTTCCTTAGTAGCCGATCCAGCCGCATCGGGGATCATCCCGATCTATGTCATTAGAAATAGAAAGACATACGTATTCTGCTCATCAAAGGCTTTTCCAAAGACTTCTATTCAGCTGTAACACGGCATCTTGAAAACCGGCTTATATATAAAATTGTGTCACGGTCTGCCTGAATGCATTGTGCAGCCCAGCTAACGACTGTATTTAGTCCTCTCGTGAAACTCCATCTGGTGAATGTTACTTTGCTACTGTGGGATTTGTTCGTGTTGCCCAAACTAGTCACGCTTCACCTGTCCAAAGGATGGAGAGCGCTCCATCAGGTCTGGCTCCTCCAAGATTTTAGGGAGCTCCGAGTTGACTTCCTGTCGGCCGAAGGTCTGAACCATATGCCGCCGTAGTCCCTGGAAAAACTTCCAGGTGAGAGGGTTTTAATCACCTTTGAAATGAGTGATTAGAATCATTATTTCAGGGCAGAGGGATGGTTCTTGCTATTAACAGCCCTCTGTTCAATATCACAACAAATTAGTTTGTGCTCATTAGTATGAGTTGTGCTTGCCTAGTGGTTTGGAAAGCCTCCATCGGGAACGTACGTTATTACTCCCAGTGAGTGGGGCATGTAATTAGCATTCGTCAAGTGCTGTGTTGATGTAAGTCCCTCTTCATAAAATGTAATTTTGCTGTTACATAAGTGTTATTTGCCTGAACAGGGAGGATCTCGCTTGCGAGGCTAAATTGTTACATCAATGGTCGCCGGAGCTTCCTCTTGATTTCAAAGAAGGACTGGCAGAAATGCTGTGAACCAACAAGGTTGTGTCATATGGGAAAGTCAAGTTTATTAGCTTTTGAATATTTAACACGCAACAAATATAGATGAATTCTACGATCGCTACAGTACGATAGAATAAAATAAATCTTGGAACATAAGGAAAAGAGGTCCCAAATGAACAGAAATGTTCACCAATCAATAGAAACACAACATACAACCACTTGAAGACAATCAAACAAGTGGAAAAGCAGTATTCAGATATTTGTATGTTTGTATGTTTTTTTTTTAACTTGGCTCTTTTAATTTGGCTTCGATGTTGAAAGATGTACTAACTAAACTCATTCATTGGATTTGCTGGAGTGAAAGTTAATTTGTGTCCTTGGAAACAGCAGTTTAACAGTTACATGTTTTTTTACAGCAGCAGGTGCAAGCTGATATAGTTTAAATATGCAGAATAACTAGAACTAGAATTATGCATGTTCTGTGAAAGATATTGTTTATCTTTTATTGTAGCAGCATTACAGTGTTGGAATATAATTAAACCCATGTAATGTTACAGCGGGCAGTACTTTCATTTTTGCCCCACTACATTTTACAGTCAAAATTACACTTCGAATTTCGGTTTTCATACCAAACAAATGGTTACCTTGAAGATTTTTTTTGCCTTAACTATCAGTGGTATATACACTTTCTGAAAATAGCTCTAGCAGAAAGGGTTCCACTATTAAATGGAGCATCAGTGTGCAGGGGACACAATTGCAATGCGCACACACTTCCTGATGGAGCTGCTCCTGCGAAGAATAAAAATACACTCCTAGCAAGCCAGCTAGACGAGTTGAGAAAAAGTTATGTCTGGCTGTGTAGTGGATAGAGAAAGACTATTCTTTAAAATGGACGATATTCCTCGGTTTCCTGTACATTAATAGCAGAAAATATCCCCATGCACAGAGAGCCACCGGCACTGGCGACAAGACAACTGCGAAGGGTTGGATTGTTTAAGCTAATTACGCCAAGTCCCGGTAGCTAGCGTTAGCAGCTAGGCTAGCCAGCTAACGCAAACCTGCTAGCCAGTATACTTTAGGCCTTACGTATCTTGTTTTTACTCGCAACTGTTGTATGGTACTCTTAAAATAACCTCAGCCCGGTTCTATATACATGTTACAGGCCGGTATTGCTTATGCCAAAAGCTACTTGTACATTGCAGTGATAGTTTCCATTGGGCAGCTAGCTCATTGCTAATTAAGCTACGCGGCTAGCCAGTTTGTTGGCTGATCATTAAGCCATTCAATGTTGTCTTGACAGGATTTGTTACCAGCCACGCTGGTTCCCTTTTCAAGTACACGCAGCTAGCTGTAACGTCGCTTAAGCTATTACTTAACGTTAGCCATGTCCCTGGTCAGCAACAAGTTAGTTTAAAATTGTGCCTCTGATTGCAAGCTAATTGTCTCGAGGCTATTATTGACATCCTTTTGCCCAATATTATTGTGAATAGACCTTAACGAGTGTGTTCTTGTCTGCTATTTGCTCTCTATTCAGTAAGCTACTAGCTGACGTTAGCTAGTAATGTCTCTAACGTTACCATCTGCCGACATACTTGAAACACCTCCTGGGTATCCGTTTGAAGAAATCAACTATGAGGATATTGAAGTCGAGGAGGTATGTTGTGGCACCGACTTAAGACCTCACGCTAATGCTTTTCATGGATGTCCAGAAGACAAGACGGTGCTGACGGCTTCAGGAGTAACGTTTCACTTTCTGATGAAACTGTCCCATTTTCAGGTGGTGGGGAGAGGAGCTTTCGGGGTTGTTTGCAAAGCCAAATGGAAAGGCAACGATGTTGCAATCAAGACCATTGAGAGTGAATCCGAGAGGAAAGCCTTTATTGTCGAGGTATTGTTGTGATTGTCAATACCTTTTGTGGGACAGAAATGACATCCTGGGTGATGACGTTACATATTTTTTTACTTACTACGTAAATAGCGTGCATGCAGATGACGTTTCCTCTTTGTCTCCAGCTCCGGCAGCTTTCACGAGTGAATCACCCCAACATTGTAAAGTTGTACGGCTCGTGCAATAACCCAGTAAGTTTAGCTGTGATTGACCAATCACACGTCACGCGGCCACATTGATGATTCATCTCTCCTGTAATGGCATGTCCCAGTATAATGTATCTCTATCGTCTGCCCGGTCAAGCATCTGATGATTTTCTCTTCCCTCTCAGGTCTGCCTTGTGATGGAATACGCTGAAGGCGGGTCGTTGTACAATGGTGAGTCTCGATGCACACTACAGAGCGACACTACTCTACTTCAGAGGTCCTTATTTCGCTTGTTAGTGGTGAAACAAACACAGCCTTGCACAGACATGAGAAGCAGCCCTGTCCAGTTGACTCTCCCACTGTTTGCACGTTCCTTTGTCCCAATTCCTTGATAAACTAGTCGTTGCTCAGTAAAATGCAGCGCACCCTTGTTCCTCAGTGCAGTTAATATCCAAATGCTTCTGGGGAGTAGTGAGATATAACAAACGACAATATGCAATATTTTAATGTTATAATGTCTCATTAGCGATCCATGTAGGTCTGCCAAGTTCAGCATCATAGAATTTGTGTGCAAAGGGCCCCGTAACGTTTAACTCCTTCACAATCTGGATATCCGGTTGGTCTGTTTACAACCTTGACGGCGCCAGCCTTCTCATGTTTCTTGCCAGGGCGAACCTTGATGTACTTAAGTGAGGACAGATTGATTGAAAGGATGAACAAAACCACAGAAAAACCTGGAATAGATACCCTTGGAGGTTCATAAATGCTGTTAAAGGTGTCATTTTTATCGAATTAATGGACACCTACACGTTTCATGTGCATGCAGCCCTTTAATCTGCTTTGCCGAGACGTCATTGGTTAGAGCAGCTTTTATTCCATAAACGTTCAGATTGGGAGACAGCATTTTTTTTCCCAGGATGAGAGTCCCACAGCACTCAGTGCTGCACTATACACTTTTCAATTACCTCTCCTCCCTAGTTACTGACTCCCTGTCAAAGTTACTCCCGGAAGGCATGGACCTACAGCTTTGACGTCATTAATTCAAGTTTAAGAAAGCGCTGCCAGAGATGTTCAGCCCTCTGTGTTTATCCCCTTTGCCCCTTTGGCTCTCAGGAACCTTTTGGGAAGAGATTGTGCTTTGGCTGCTGCAACCAGATATGAAGTTCTGGGGACATTTTAGCCACTCCAAAGGCTCCGGAATGGGAACGCTCAGGGAGGGGTTTGCAGAGAGGACTCTTGCTGATTGATCATTTTGAAAAAATAGACAAACAATACAAGAGAGATTGCGAGGGAGCGGTAGAAGAGAGACTGCTGTGAATCTGAGAAAAGATTATTTTGATCTTTTCTAAAACGGCAGAAAGTGTCTTTCTGAGACAAAATTTTGGTCCCAACCTATTGTGTGTTGTTGAGTGTTTTTGCGTGGGAGTCTGTGTGTGTGTGTGTGTGTGTGTGTGTGTGAGAGAGAGAGACAGTGTTGTGAAGCACTGCTCTCCGCCTGGTTCCCTTCGTAGGTTTAATGTCTGTGGTGGTGGTTGTGACTGTGCTCTCTTGTCCACAGTGCTGCATGGTGCTGAACCCCTCCCCTATTACACTGCTTCCCATGCCATGAGCTGGTGTTTTCAGTGTTCCCAGGGCGTCGCCTACCTCCATGGCATGAAACCAAAGGCTCTCATTCACAGGGACCTCAAGCCACCCAAGTATGCTCCTCCTCGCCTCACTCTCTCGTCGCCTGTTGGGCTCATAGTGCCAGCAGAGTATCCAGTGGTTTCCCCTTTTAATGTGCATGTCACACAACAAATATTACATTTTAAAATTGATGTTGTTATTGTGAACCAGCAGTGTACATGTTTTTCAACACTGTTACAAGCCGCTCAGAAATGTCCCTTGTTGGTATGCAGGCTCTTTATGTCTTTAAGTATTGGGTTATTTAGTCTGTACAGGTGTTGTCATGTGTTTAGAGGTCAAGAGATTCTTGGGGGGGGGGGAGATTCAACTCTGAACCCAATTTTACTAACAGGTTTTACTAAAATATGAGGCTTTCACGGCTTTTCATAAAAACAAACAAAAAACATGAAACAATAATGGACCATTTCCATTCAAATCTAATTTGAAAAAAAGAGAAATTCTCAAGTAGGCTATTTTGAAGGGCTTTAATCTGAGTGAAGCCTCAAAGTGGCCTGTTAATAACCTGAAGGGAAATTATGGACTATGGACCATTATTTTTTTTAAATCTGAAATTGACTCGTGAATGTGATTTTGAAAAAAGCTCTCAAAGGACATTTTGATAGGCTATGATTTCAATTTAATATTTTAATATTTTTACTTAAAGTGTGTCTTTCTGTTAAAATAATCCTTTTGTTGATCTCCTGCTGTCTTTTTTAAAATTATTTTATTCTTCATGGAGTCTAATGGTGCATATTTCTTACTTTTCTTGTTGTTCCAGTCTGCTTCTAGTGGCAGGCGGCACTGTGCTGAAAATATGTGACTTTGGGACAGCATGTGACATTCAGACCCACATGACTAACAACAAAGGAAGTGCAGCATGGATGGCCCCAGAGGTATTTGAAGGCAAGTATGAGTGGCATTTCAAGTAGTTGAAGAGCGGTTCGGATAGCCGCTCTGTTAGTAGTTTAATTTGTACCCAGTTGTTACTGCGGGATACGATGGGGGAAAATATTGTATAACGCTATCATGACGTGATCTCTGTAAAATTTTGACGAGAGACCTGACCTGTTTCTTACTTGATTTATTTTCACTAATTTTCACTATTTAAATACGACATCATTTTAATGAAAACAACCACTATACATGACAATGGCAAAGTATTTAATCTTTTTTTTTTTAGATTTCACTGACGTTGAGACACGTTATTAGTCTGGCAAAAAAAAAAAGTTTGGAGCTTTTCCTCCACATTGTTTTTCTCCACCAAATGATTCATCAGCAATCCATAAAGAATGTGATCACTAAGGGGAACCAATTTATAGATGAAAGCTCATGAATGCACCCACCTGTGGTTACTCACGTTTCACCTGAATGCCAGCTCGGCGCTTTTAGCGCGGTGGCACTAGTCCTTGATCCATCATCTGCACTCTGACTGCAGCTTTATGGATGGCAGTCTCCCAAGCACGGCGAGAAGATGAACGGTGCGATGCTGGTGGATTTTTTTCCCTTGGGGGGGGGCGACGGTGTACAATGTGTGTTCTCGTTCAGCCGTGAGGAGGAAAGATGAATAAAGTCCGAGGTTATTATCGGCTTCAGCCACGCAGCAACTTTGAAATAGTTGTGTAATGTGCACTTGAACTGTGCAATAACAGGCCCAGTAATTAAGCAGCACAGGAGCTGTTCCACGGTAAAAACTTCCTCCCCGCCCCCCGGAGATGCGATAAAAGCTGCCGGTGCTTCCTCCGGCACATCCTTGCTCTCCTCTCAAAATGTACCACGGAGGATTGCCTTCATCAAGTCAGCCAACGGTGTGAAACGGGGCCCATTCGGCCCGTTTTTGAAGAGGACCTAAGCGTTGCTGCGCCTTCTGATGTGCTTGCAGGTAGCAATTACAGCGAGAAGTGCGACGTGTTCAGCTGGGGGATCATTCTCTGGGAGGTGATCACTCGCAGGAAGCCCTTCGATGAGATCGGAGGACCGGCTTTTCGCATCATGTGGGCCGTGCACAACGGTGAGTCGTGTGTCGGGGGGGGGGGGAGCTGTAGGATGCAAAGGCCACATCCAGCTGTCAGCTGCTGTGAGCCGTCAGACGCCCCGCGAGGCCTGCTGGAGACTGGAAGTAGAGAGCCGGGTACAGCTGAAAGCCATGTTTGCCAGTGCAGAGACGGATGGGGGAGAATACTAATGGGACACTAATAATACCTGGGCAAATTCTTTAGTCATTACGGTTTTGAGCAGCAGGAGGTATTGGGGGGACGTGTCATAAATATGATATGCAATATTTATGCTTGTCTCGCGTGATGCCACATCTTATTTCTTTGTGTGACTTTTCTTCATTTTTCTTCCTTCCTTTTCTCCCTCTTTCAGGCACTAGACCTCCTTTAATCCACAATTTGCCCAAGCCCATTGAGAGCCTGATGACTCGCTGCTGGTCTAAAGACCCCTCTCAGCGGCCCTCTATGGAGGAGATCGTGAAGATCATGACTCATCTAATGAAGGTAATCTGCTTGCTTTTCCTACCGGGCTTTCACAAAACTCGTTTAAGTGTGTCGCGGGATCAGGGGAAGTTTTAATGCTACAAAGCAGGGACCGTGGAAGTTCACATAGAGGGATGTTTTCGACTGTTGGAAAAACTGCAATAATGTCATGTCATAACAAGAAGGGGGGACAAAGTCATCTTTTAATTTCTAGGTTTAATGACTCCTTCGTGCAGCACTGCATAGAATGGAACACGATGAACTAAGTTCTCCAAAATGACCCCACAGTAGAACACATCTCAGTTTAAGCAAATTTGAACCTCCACAAGGGGACGTTATAATAGATTACAATAGTTTTAACAAGGAGTAGCTAATGAACTAGAAAATTGGTGACGTTTTAACACATTGAAAGATATTTAATTAATATACATTTTTAACTCTTATCCAGCACATCATTACCTGCATGTTTATCTCACGATACAGTCACTCGAGTAGAGGAACAGGAATACTTGCTGAATCTGAGTGTCAGTGGGAACCGGCAGCTCAGCTCCTCACAGCTTTTTAAGTCATCAATGATTAAAGCAATTACAAACAGTGGAGCCTTATTGGGCACTTCTGTTCAAACTCTTTACTAATGTGTTTTCCGCTCATCTCTGTCCATATCGGAGTTTAAATGGAAACCAGTCTGACTACATACATTATTATATTGGAATCAATCTCCTTTTTTCAAACCGAATGGGTAAAATATATATATATATATATATATATATATATATATATAATATGTTGTTTTGGTCACTTATAATAGTAGATGTCTTTTCTTCTTTTGACAGTACTTCCCAGGATACGATGAACCGCTCCAATATCCATACCAGTATTCAGATGATGGGCAGAGCAACTCGGCCACTAGCACAGGTACACGGCTCTAATCAATAGTTATCAACGAAGAAGAATGTGGGATGGTTTACCTTTTTGTGATTAGTTTCCTTTACCAGTGCTTATTTCGAATATATTTTTTCTGTATTTAATCTTCTTGGCATCCAATCATTTTGATCATGTCTAAAATAATAATGTATGCCCAAAGTTAACTTTAATGTCCCCATTTACAAGCCGTGTTGCCTTTGTTCCCGTCTTGTGAAGGGCGTGTTTATACCGATGAGTTACAAACCATTAAATAATTTGAGTGCCTCAGCCTTCAGAACTCCCTGCAGAACCGATCCAAAGTCTTTAGGGCATCCCTTTATATTCGGGTTGGGTTATTCAGTAGTTTCTAGATCCAAAGTTGCATATGTTTGTTTCATAATAGAAACAACTTTTGTGAAATTCATAAAACTAAACAACCTTTCTCCTGTCCTGCGTGTTGGGTTACATCAGGTTCATATGTGGACTACACCGGCACTAGCACAAGCAGCAAAAGCGACGCCAACATGGAGCACAGTGACTCCCAAGGGAGCAACGACACTATCAAGATCACGCCTCAGTTCGCTCCTTACTTCAAGCCCAAGGTGAAGCGACCAGTCATTGTCATTGCTCGTGGGTTAAGTTCCAGGCGTAGGCGTGTCTCGTCATAGCGGGCCTGTGCTGAGTTTGTCTCTGGTCGTCTCAGGCAGACCCATTGAGGACTCTGCCTCTGTCGAGGGGGGGCAGCGTCGAGAGCCTGCCCGCGCGGACGCAGTGCCCCACGCTGTCCGACAACAAGAGGATGAGCGCCGACCTGTCGGAGCTGGAGCCCAAGATGCCATTCACGCCTGCAGGTAACAGCCGACACGAAGCGGTGCTTGAACCACACATGGAAGCAGCGAGAGGCTTTTTGGTTTTAAACTTTGATGCAGCATTAATAAAAGGATTTCCTGTAACTGGAGCATCGGTGGTCCGGGTCCTCAGATGGCCCCATTGAACTTTTAATCACGACAGCGGCGCTCTGGAACGGACGAGCATGCCGCCCTTGCACGTGCAATGTACGCTCTGCATGTGTGTGGCCCACCGTGCCACACAGTCCTGCCTGTGGGCCCCCCCCCCCCAGTCTGTCTTAGTCTGCATGCTTGCCGTGTTCGCAGCTGTATGTGTGTGTGTGTTTTCGCAGCACATCCCCAGTATAAACGAGGCCACCGTAAAACGGCATCGTACGGCACGATTCTGGATGTCCCCAAGATCGTCGTCACAGGTATCTCTGGGACCACTGGGCCTCCTGGTGACCGGGTGGAGCTTGGCTTGTCTTGGCTGGTGTGGGTTGCTGTGACGTGCCTTTCTCCTGTGTGTCACTCCATACGATGCCCATACAATCATTTAAGAAAATGTTATTGACCTTTCGCTAAGCCCCGCCCCTGGCTGCTACGCTGACTAGCTGCCAGAGCTGCCATTGAGCCTGTCACTGTCACTGACTGCACTCAATGTTATAAATTACAGCTGTTTTGGGTGAAATTAAAAGCAACTTGGGGGAAAAAGCAGACATAAATGTCTTGATTTATCCAGGTTGTCAAAGTTTCAATTCATCAAAAAGATAAAGATATAAACTAAAGCTACTGATCAGTGTATAAGGGATCAGCTAGCGAATTGAGGTAGAGGACAATTAATTGAAGGAACAGCACTGTTCCTATAACACTAGGTAGGTCTTAGTTTACTGTTGCAATCATTGAAAAGTAAAAGCAGAAGTAGTAGCGTAGAAGAGCTAGTTAATGATATGCTAACATATTCTGCTGACGTCACCTCCACAGGTTATTTCCATAGAAACAAACTCTCAGTGTCCTATGTATCTCCCACCAACCTCTCCGGTTACACAGTATCACCTTAGCGAGGACCGGCTCCAAAGCCACAGAACATCTGAAAGAAACCGGGCGGATGCTAGACTGCGATTGGCCGATCTGCTTTCGAGCGGTGGGACTTGGCGAAGGGTCAGTCGAGCAGGCCCTGGAGGGACACACATAGCGGTTGGCTTCTGTCTCTGTCTTCTTTGATGTTTACTCCACAGAAGCAGAACATGAGTTCATAGTCTCATCTGGTGTCACATTATGTGTATTTTTACACCAAAATTGAGTTAAAACTAATTATTTGTCGGTCACCTGTGTCGATGCCCACATCTTTTGGACCGAGTTGAGGAAATCCAATCGGTAAATAACATCCGTGACTCAGATGAGACTACCGTTCTAACTCATGTCCCTGTCCCCTCTCCGAAGGAATCAGCATTTCAGCTTGTCCTTTGCCTTTTATGCATGAGGACTTGCTACCTTTTTTTTCTCTCTCCTGTGATTGCTCTCTTCAACATCAATTAACTATGTAAAAACATTTTTTTTGATAAAGCGGTATGAATGAAGGAATGGGGGGGGGGTGGGGGGGGCGTTGGTTGTCATCTTGGAGCCTGTGAGACACATTGAGTGTGGATCATTTAATCCGGTGACTAAGGGACTCAGCTGATGCTTATTACATGTTGCACGTGTACACCTGGACATCACATCATAACTCCTTGGTAGCCATTGAGAAGGCATGAAACAGTCTGAAGAATACACTGGTGTAAATCTTAAGTAGGGGAGGGATCACGGGTACAACACCTGCTTAATAGCAGGGAAAACCGAAACCCAGGAAATAGCATTTTTCTGCTGTCATTTAGTTTTGCTTTTTACTTCTCAATGTATTATATATTGTATCATAATCTCTAACATAACTAAGCTATTTGGTGTTTGGACTAGCGTTATGTATATTAGCATTTCCTCAAATATGGAATAAAGGTTGGATGCAGATTGGACAATAGATTTCTTTCAAAAAGTAAGTATGGCCAAACAAATCCGTTGTTGTGGAGAGATGTAGACGTTACGTAGACCATAGTCCCAGGTCAATGTGTAGTTATGCTGCGATTAGGAGGAAAGAGTTACATGAATAACCGTCTATGGTCTGAAGTCCGTGTGCGGGGAAGTACAGAGAAAGGTACGTCTTGCCGGTTCATAGAAACGCTTCACCTGCGCTCCAAGTATGTCGTGATGGGGAGCAGCTTGTCGCAAATTATCCGGTGGGGCTTTTCTACAAGTGCAGAATTTGCCCAATGTGTTAATCGTGTTTTTACAGCAGGATAATTTTATTAAAACTGCACGTTTCCTCATTGCAAAGGCCATATTATTCATTAGTTTATTACAAACAACAGAGACTGAATCGGCTGTTCTTTGTGTGTGTGCGTCCGTCCTCAAGTGTTGTTTACCTTCAGTGTGTTGTAGAGGAGCTTCTAGTCCGCCTATAAACAACGTCTGTTTTAGGTTTCAGTGAGTAGGTGCAATCAACCCAATGTGTCCCATGTTATGTAGTTTGGGAGATGCACCTAATATGGAGAAATGCAACACTGCAGCAATTCCAATAGACATGACAAATCATGTTGCAGAAACCTGGGAATGCCATGTCATATGCTGTAGATTGTGGATGTGGTTAGGTTTGGTCTACGGTGGTGTGTGTGTGTGTGTGTGTGTGATAGGCCAGGACACAGAGGGTTCAATCAGTGCAGCTGTCCCACGTCCCATATGAGCAAACACGGGGCATCGCTGTCTGCAAACTCCGTGGGGGTCTCACTCTCTCTTCTGTCTGTGCGTCCCGTCCACAGCCTCATCGGATCCTCAGAGACGTCGGTCCGTGCAGGATCTGCCGGGCATTGGCACGGAGTCCAGCCAGGTAAGGCGGCGGGATAGCGGGCGTGATCTTGGTCTGATTAGCCGGTGTTATACTTCCAAGTCTAATCCAAATGAAATCGCTCTTTGAAGGGAAGTAGGTGCGTGGCCCTCTGCAACGCTCATTTAAATTGGCTTTATTGAGACTCGCTGTCTTCGCTCTGCTGCGTTTCAGCACCCGGGACAGCGGCAGATACACACACACACACACACACAGCGAGCCATCCGGGAGTAACTCATGGCATATTATTTAACATGGCACCTGATCAACACCTCACCTTTATGGTGCACAGATGAAAACTGTATCTAACACTATGCAAAACAAAAAGTAGCAAGAGCAAAGGGGGTTCGTTTTCAATTCAAATTTGGTGCGTTCTAAATGATCCATTTTGGTCATTTTAGACGAACCTTCATCGTTTGGATTCTGATCATTTTGAACAGGATTATTTTTATAATTTTTATTTCAATGGAATTATAATTCAACCAACGCTGCAGGAATGCGTCCTATAGGCGCTGCCAACCAGCTTATTTCGAGAAGACCGCCAAGATCATTAGCATTTTCTTCAGCTGAATGTGGCCTTTGCCTCCAAATGTGCCCGATGGTCATTCTGAGCTGTGGCTGGCTTGCCAGGTGATAGAAGGTCCCTTGTGTCCCCTTACAGGGGAGCAGGAACAGCAGCCGGCCCTCCAGTCCGAGCCTGAGGATGATGCCCGATAAGACGTACTTCTCCCCCGACGACCCCACAGGTAAACGCTTCCACCGCACCAGCCGAGTGAATGGTTTAGTGTGTAGGAGGATGCTGGACAGCCAACACAGAGAAAAACTAAACCACCCTGGCGTTCTCTTCTTTTCTCAGACACCAACGGCTCGGACAACTCCATTCCCATGGCGTATCTCACCCTGGATCACCAACTGCAGGTACGTTTGTTGTTGTTTCATCTAGATGTTGTCAGATGGGATTTTACATTTCAGTGGGGTTGTAGCCCGCCGCTCTTTCCTTCCAGAGAGGAATTGAAGGGAATTTTGAATGACTTCATTATGAAGGGATTAGCCCTGAAAACATAATGCTGTGGAGTGTGCAAGACGGTCGGTGTATTATCATCCGCTTAGACTTCTTCATTCGACAACTAACGACAACGTGCGTTTTTCTTTTCCAGCCTCTCGCTCCCTGCCCCAACTCCAAAGAGTCCATGGCCGTGTTTGAGCAGCACTGCAAGATGGCCCAGGAATACCTGAAAGTGCAAACGGAGATCGCCCTGCTGATCCAGAGACAGTATGTTTATTTGCTTCTAGCATCCGAAACCACATTTTCTCCAGAGTCACCTACTGCATTTTATTTTTGAAATAAATACATTAAATACTATTATTGTGATCATCCTGAGAACGGTGACCTGTTTTTAACCTTTCCTACTAATCATTTAAACTTTTTTTTTCCATTCCAATGATCCACCTAACTGTCTTTTTACTATAATGTAATTCACTCTGGGAGGTGTGGTAACGGTGAACAAAATTCAATTCAAATGAAAATCCAGTTATTCTGAACACCAACACGTTGCAGTCTGTGTGTGTGAAGACATGTTTGGTCCTACACTGCGGATGGAGTTTTTGTCTCCCGGCACCAGCAACAAAGGGAACCATAATTGTTTAAATTCATTAAGACAAATGAATCCCACACATTAGTTTTAATTGATCCAAAGACCTTCCTTTGCTCTAAAGAAGATAATATCGCTTCCTATCCCGTCTGCGCAGGAAAGAGCTCATCGCTGAACTAGACCAAGACGAGAAGGACCAGCAGAACACGTCCCGGCTGGTGCAGGAGCACAAAAAGCTGTTGGAGGAGAACAAGAGTCTGTCCACATACTACCAGAAGTGCAAAAAGCAGCTGGACCTGATCCGGGTCCAGCAACAGAAGAGACAGGGCACGTCGTGATGGGACAGAGACCTGTATGAACTGCACCCAATCGCCCTCCCCTGCCCAACGTCCGCTTTCCTCACCCCGACACTAACACTACCCAGTCATTACTCTGCGCGCGCCCACACCCACCCACCCACACCCACACACTGTTCCCAGTCCAGCTTTGTAAAGAGACCCGTGTCCTGCATGTCGCATCGTAGACCCCTCAACGTCTGTCCGGTCCGAAGATGACGTCCTCTGTACGTACATTTGCACATCCTTGCAGTGTATTCTGTGAGTGCAGACCAAACAATCACTGCAGCCCACAAACCCTGCCGCTGCGCTCTGGGGTTGGACCGGGAAATACTCCCATCCCCCCACCCCCCCCCCCCCCTCCGGAACCTCTTGTGGGTGCAACGAACGGCGGGCCGACCGGTGCAGGTCGTGTCTTTGCTCTGTCGGCTCCTCGGCCCGGCAGCCCCCCCCTAGTAAAAAAGGGGGGGGGATTGGGGGGGTGGATCATATGCAAGAACCCCTTGGAGATCGGTGAGGATCTTTGAACCTGTTCTACAGCGTGTTTGTGTGGAATCACTGTTATGCAAACCGCACGCCCCTTAAATCCACCGATCTATGTGTCCCCCATTTGTCATCGTGAGCATGGCGCCTGGTCATTTCCACGAGATGTCAGTCCTTTGGACAGGTACTTTGTCTCCCGGGGGGGGGGGGAGGGAGAGACGTCTGTCAAACCTGGATGCACCATTATTAATCTGCTCCTCATGCTCTTTAAATAAGACACACACACACCCAGCTTCTCGAAGCAAACGGGGAGCTGCAGATTCCTCTTTTTATTTGGACTTTGGATTTGATCTTTCTTGAGTGTCTGTTTTTTTTCTTGTCTTTTTTTATTCAGTAGTTCCCTCTGTATGATGGCCCTTGTCAGATCTGCGTTAGGACATGTTTTATCTGCTCTGGAAATTCCCTTGCGGACAAAAATAGAGGAGCCTGTACCTCTTTTTACAGCATCTGGTTTGTTTTTAGTTCACATGATGCCTTAGAAGTTGCCTGCTTGTTTTTACGTGACATTTAGTGGGGATAAAAGATACCAAAATATATATATATATATTTTCAATGTAATGGATAGTGAATGAATTTCTCCCCAGAGGTGAGTGAGAAGGATTTATGTGAAAAAGCTGATAATGTAAATGTTTAAGATCAGCTTGACATCCAAAACACAACAACATGTACTCTAAAAAGAATGTGATCTTTGTTTTTGTTTCTTTCCCCGGTTTTCATATCCCTTAAGTACTTTTGCACAATCACTTTTGGTTTGTCGGGTCATGTACAAATTTTATCTCCCATTTAAGAAATTCTGGTTTTAAAGGGGAAAGACTTGATGAGTCTTACTTTTAAAATGGGTTACCGTAAAGGAGCGAAGCCTCACCCAATGTCCCTCGTGGGTGAGTTTACCAATGCACGCACCACGCTGTTCATGAAGTGTTTCCTACGGTGTGGGGGACTGAGCTACAGTTATGACCGGGAGCGAGGCATTATGAAATAAAATGAATGGTGACAAAGATGCACTTCTTTCAGGCGTGAGTGTTTGGGGAAGATTTACTGAAGTGCTTACATGTGATTTGATTGTTTTCAGCTGCAAAAAATCGCAATGCAATAAAATATAGCCAGAGTCTAAAACATTCAAAAAATGAAGTAGCATAATCAAAAGAATGTGAAGAGGTAACGTTTAGGCCTGCAACTAACGATTATTTTGATTTATTTCTTCGATTAATCAATGAATTGGATTAAAAAAAAGGGATTAAAAAGCTTTAATTTCCAAACCTTTATTCTAAAACAGAAGTGCAAATTCACATTGCAAAAATACTTCAGAAAGTACAGGTTGCCCCTTGAACATAATTTATTAAAAAAAATACAAATCAGAAAATGTAACAGGATTTGTTTTAACGTCAGAACTTCTCTACACTTACAAACTCTCGCTCACAAACACCTCCCTGTTCACTTTAAGCTTATACATTAAATTATTACCATCATTGTAGCGCAAGTTAAGTAAATGTATACATCCCATCTAAGTACAGCTAAAAACAACCAAGTGCTATGAGATGAATTTATGATGCCTTTGTAAATAAATGCATTAGAGGCTTCTTAGTTTGCTGCGCTGGTTTAAATAAACACAAATATATTTGTCAACAATAACCGATATGGGAGTACTACTCGTTAACCTTCTGTCTCCAATAGTTGGTCGACTGGTACGGTGCACCCAGCGAGCTGTGCGAGTCGCTCTAGGTATCAATGGTTACTAATTGCATCCAGCAAATATGTTGAATTGAAATACTGAATCCCAAAACCCCGGCTGCACCTATAACAAAGTGCAGAAACTGTTTAAAGTCTTGTGGTGGTCATCTCAAGGATCCACAGAGACGTCTACTTGCGTTGGCTGGACTCAAAGCCAGGGGGCTTTAACACCAACCCAAACAAACTCGGAATCCGTCTTCCCTCTCTGTCCTGATACGGATCAGACACCCAAACCGATGCAACCTGAAACAGAAAGTTCAATTCTGCTTCCGAGCAGACCGTGCTGAGGTCGGTTTCTGGTGTGAAAGCGCTAACTAACCAACCAACAAGACGATTGTACAATGATAGATATTTCCTTTTTGGCATAATTTCAAAAGCTAAGCAGAAAAAATCCATCTACCATCCGTGAAAACTGTTGCAGGGGAACATGTATGCGGTTCAGCGCTGGTGATTAAAAGCGGATAATACTGTCGCTGAGTTAACGGGACATGGTAGTGGTCACATCTACCATCCAAAGGATCGCTGTCCTTCCTTTCCAATTCAAGGACGTCCAAGGAGACCGAATCAGTCACACCAATGCTTTCATGGCAGATCAGCCGCCTTCTGTTTGGAGCTTGCCATTAAAAGGCTCATTATGGTCGCTAGATTAACCCACTCTCTCCTACAAAGCAGTGGACCAAAAAAGGCTTGTGTGCGTACTTGTGTCCTGGCTCGGAGGCGCCCGTGTTTGAAACCCACCTTGTCGATAAGCTTTCAGGCGAAAATGCTTTACAGGCAACATTGTGAGTATCTGTCAATGGTACGAATTCCCAGGGTTGCCTGCTAACGTTGGCCTGTGCATTGGAACCAACAATCCTAAGGTATTTGAACCCAGGGAGAGTGGAGCTCAAACGAAGGAAAAGGTGGAGCAAAGACAAAAGGCTGAAGCAAAAGGCACAAGAGGAACAAGCGGCGGGAAAAAGGTGGACGGGTACAAATCAAAGATGCAAGGAGATCACGACCAGACGGAGGGATGCCCTGAACCCCAAACTCAGTTCAATACAATACAAATACTAATAGCAGAGATGTGCAGAGATACAATAAACTCTTACAACTACAAGGACGAAGGGATTTAGGTTACAACTAATATGCCTGTCAGTGTAAATTTAGTTATTAATAAGGGCAGCTGTGAACTCTATTTAGCCCTCTGCAGAAAGAATATTGTATTTGAGATGATTAATGATTTATTTACATTTGTTGTTGGCATTGAAATAGTATACTGAGTTATTAAGTCTTTGTCCAATCACAAATGTTTTCTTAGAATAATCCAAAAAGAGGGGTGTGTGTAATAGAACGTAAGTAACTGAGATAAACTCTGCTAATCAAGACCAGGAGATACAGTTGAAAGTTAGTAAGTGTACTTTTAGTTGAGATGACCGAGGACCTGAGAACCGGAGTGAGGCCTCAATAATCTCATACATCCCAATCGCTGGCTTTCCCGCTGTTGAAATACTGTACACCAGCTATAACAAAACTAACACTCTTCTTTGACAATCCATATCAGCGGCAATAAATAAATAAAAAGGTGAAGAGGGGAGGTCTAACAGTTATATTAGCACCTGTCTTTCTGGCTCATTTAGTGAGTCTAGTGATCCGCTGCTCTCCTTAATTGCAAAAAATGTTTTTTGCAGACAAAACAATACAAATTGTTGACTAAATGTTGGGATAGGCAGGTACTTATGAATATTTAGCATACAGCCAATCGTGCGTACCACTTGTTTTCCTTTGTTAATTACCTCATGTGCCCAATAAGTTAACGGCTAAAACCTGTAAACACAAACCTCTGGAGGCCGTGCAGTACAACTTCACCCGTCCCTGCTGCAGTGTCTCCGTTGGGCCAGCAGGTGGTGCTAAACAGCCATTGTTTGTCGTTGAGAGGCGCTGTGAGTCAAAGAAGCAGCACCTTCAACATATCAATGGTCGGAATCAAAGGAAGCCCTCGTAATTCGTCATTCCCGACCTACTTCATTGATCGCGGCAGCAGCTTTGAAGTGAGCTGATTTAGATCTGATGTAGTAACGGATTCACGTGCGCAGCGTCTGGCCTCTTTTCTTGATAGCAGAGGACCCTGAACCTGACCCGTCTGTCTGCACCTTCGCAGTCAAAGAGCTCGGGCTCCTGGTTCACATCTCGGCCTTGAAAATCATCACCAGCCCTCTGATGACTGATGAAGTCGATCTCTAAATGAGGGAACAATGAGTCATTTCATTGTGGAGGAATGAGGTCATCTTCCCTCTCCAGCAAGGTATTGTGCATGTGCTCCTCCTGCTGAGCTGCAGGAACCGAGGAGGCCGGCGTGCCGCTTTGTTCTCAGAAGGACGTGTAAGCTTTCGGTCCTACTGTGGAAGTCAAACGGGGGGAAGGCTCTGGGGGAGGGGGGGGGGGGGGGCTTTTAGTGGGTGTGGCCCAAAAGGAAGAGAGGCCACTTTCTATTTGCGGCGTCCTTGGCCGTGCATACAGGGTTTTTATTTTCAACACGAGCGGACGAAATCCCAGCGTCCCATTTCAAAGACTTCCTAAAGCTCGCTTCTTTGAATGCATGCGTGTAGAGTTCTGCTGGGAGACCCTTTCTGCATTGGTCTTACGCCACTGCCAAAACAAAACCCAGAACAAGCCAAAGTTGTCCAATGCAGTTGCTGTTGACCTAGAAAAAAGTCACTCAATACAAAATACAATACATTGAACTAAATCTGGTACTTTATGACCACATTTAAGACCCATGTCACACTTCAGAGATACTAAAAAGCTTCTGTGAGATTCAGCGTCTGATTCAGTGCGTCTACTAACCTCGGCGGCGCCGGAGCTTTAAACTTGGCCACACATTCCAGCACGGCTCCCACCATTAATGTAATCTTTTAATTTGCCTTCGTTCAACTGCATTGATCGTTCCTCTTACCACTTTGCATAGGAGGGAAGTTGATGCCGCACTTGAGAAAGCGCGCACGCGCCTGTGTGTGTGCACGCGCGTGCATTAGATTTTATCTATAGCATGGTAGCCATGGAAACTGGGTGACATAAATAGGCTAGTGCCGGCAAAGAGAGAGAGAGAGAGAGAGAGGGATGTTGCAGGTTTTTAATAATGGACAGAATTTGGGTCATAACATGTTGGTCTATAAATTGCGCCGTGTGCCAGTTCTATTAATCTGCTCCAATCCCCGGTTGGTCTCCGAAGTGTCCGCAGGCGTCTGTGCGAGAACGCGGCGGGGGCCTCGAAGCCGCTGCAGGAGTAGAGAGACCCCTGCGTTCTTTGTGTACTCGCCTTCATGCATTATGTAATTACGCGATGCGTTTTAGCTACACTAATAGTGGCAGAATACTAATTGGGATCGTGAAATAACTGCGCTGCACTCATTCTCCATTCACAATCTCACCGGCGGTCTATTTGGAGGCGCACTAATGAGGATGGAGGGGAGGAAGGGTTCGAGCAGATCCCCCTTTCCTGATGCTAAACTCGTTTTCGCAGAGAGGCCGCATCGGCGGGCCGGGGGGGGCAGAAACCAACACACATGACACATCTCCGGATGTGTCAGGAGGAGCAGAGTGGTCCAGGCTCTCGGCGCAGGCCTGCTGGAGGACGCCAGCGCTTGACTTTCCACACACACAGTGGCGAGGGGGACCAGGGGGCCCTCCGGCCACTCACCAAGACAGTCACCAACATTTGAAAAAGCTGAAATGTCGGAAAAAAAGGCCGTTCTCTGGACGGTCCTTGAAGCCCTTAAAGGGGTTAAATTGTCAGTTACAGGGTAACACATTAGCGTGCAACAGTTGGCCTGACAACGGGAAGGTTAGTACTTGTTTTCTCCTACGGATGTGCAGCTTCTTGTGTACTTCATAGGTAAGCACTTGTTTAGGTCTAGGAAAGAACGTGAGTACGGAAGCTGCGTAAAGTCCACGTTTAGGGGAGAATAACAAAGTTGGTGGCGTTACTTAATTCAAGACGAACTATGACAAATAAGTCAAAACGACTGCAGAAGTGGCGCCGCTCAAATGCGGTAGTCACAAAAAAAGTCACAAAAAGCGTTGACTTGTGGTCTCACGGGAGACACAAACCGCTGCCTCCAGGGTGGACGTCTGGTGTTTGTACCATTACCATGCTAATAATAGCTCAGTATATTTCTTCTTTCAGTTTACTGCCATTCAATTAGTTGTGTTATCAGTACCAATATCGGTACCATTCATGTATTCTAGATAATTACCATATTTACATTAGGCTACTTTAATCAAATCATCAA